ATGACGACCTCAAGTCAAAGGACCAATTTCACTACCGAACGTTAGAGATTAACCACCGACACTCAGATAGTTATCCATGTGGAATCTCTCGACGGGTCTCCAATGTTTTGTTCTATAACAAACATCCACGTGTTCATTTAAGTGTCACCACACTTTAACTTGTGAGATCGGCTACTTACTTCACAAGTAAGAAATGCCACACGTGATGGTCTATCCGTAATAACGATATCCGTATCTCGTTATTACTTACGACCACGGATGATTTAAGATTCAATCAGATGTAATTTGTATCTCACAATCACAACTCCTTGTGATTAATAAATTACAAATATTTGAATCTACGGACTCTATTATTTATTTAATTGTCAATTAATTAAATAATAGATCTGCCATTTAATTGCATTAATCATATATAAAAGTATTTATGTCCAAAGTCGATTGGACCTAGGGCATAATACTTACACGAATAAATTAAATTAAATGTAGGAAGTAAATGAATTAAAATAAAATTCAAATTTAATCTAGGAAGTAAATGAATTTCAAATTTAATGCAAATGACACTAAATTTCTTTGACATTATACTCTATATAAAATTTCCTAATAAAATGATGTAGACTATATTGAAAAATGTGTCGTGCAAAAATAATAAACGATAATGAAATAATTGATTTTTTTTTAAAAGAGACGAGTTAGTTGTCTCTTTTTAGTACGTACGTTTGACACGTTTAATTCAATTTTCATTTGAACCATTCGATATGGCTATTATGTAGTCTCAAAATGAATTTCTAGATGATGTAGACGATTTATGGATTCAAATAGCGTACGATTGTCGACGAATTTTTAAAGTTAGCATATTTCAAAATTTTCGAAATATTAGTTTAACACGACCTACTTTAATGCGTCATGACTCTTGCCACGATTGACCGTTTCAGGGGCCATTAAGGAGCAAAAAAAATATGCTCTGAACACTCCAAAAATGATATTAAGAACACAATGTTTCGACTTTGTTCGACATCTTGTAATGAGGACATCAAAATGGACTGCAAAGAGCAATTGCTTATTTTTTCACATAATATATAAATTTGAGAAAAGCAGTATCTTGGGGTAAAAACAACTACAATTTTTTGGAAAAAAATAAAAATAAAAATAAAAATATTTTGTAGGTCAAGCGACCACATATGAGCCCGCCTCTATTAGTGGTGCTTAGTATTCGTCTAGGTGATAGTGAAGACTTAAAAATTTAGTTCTCAAGAGCCATGTGGTCCGACTCAATTCTAGTGGAATCACCAAAAATTAGTATAGTCAAAAACAAAAATAAAAAATCTATCACAGACCTAGTTACAATCAATGACAGAATTCGAATTATTCATTATTTTACATTATGCCAAGCAATTGGTTCAAATTCATCCACCATGTGCGGCGATTCCTCATGCTCCAAAAGTGACTTAGCCGCCACTAATATTTTACATGCATAAAACAAAAAATGTTAAGATGTGCATGTAAAATATGTTGAACATATAATTAATTTCTGTCAACTAGGTTTGTGTCACGCCATCCAATTACAAAAATCACGTGTACACGTATTTCTTAAGCAAGGATCACATATTAAATATATAAATATAAATAAATAAATAAATTCTTTGACCTCGACAAAAGATGTTAGCGTAACCGGGGAGATTTGGTGAATAATAAAGAGAGAACCTTACAGGATGAGTTATTGGCGAAAGCAAGAATTTGTCAATAATCTCAAATAAATTAGCAAGTTGCATGTTATCAAAAAATTTGAAAAAAAAAAAAAAAAAGGAAAAATGTTGGCAAGTTCCATTATTTCTCCTCACATGTTGCTGAACCCGTCCCCAGAAAATGCCCTAGGGAATAATTTCATAGATCTTCTACAAGACAATCACATGGGGTGAGGACGGGTCCCACCGTTGTGTGTATTCTGTAAAATATCTGTATAATTCTTTTGGTAAATGTAGTACTGTTCACCACTCTCCCACCCCACCCCCAACCAAACCCTATTCCCAAATTACGTGTTGAAACATTTACAAACATTTAAGTTGAAAAGTCAATCGCTACAAGCTAGTTAATAAGAATAAGAACATCTCAATTTTCAAGAGGCTTATTTTCTCTCTTTTCCATAGCGTGTCTGTCGAAGTTTCCTCGAAATATGATCCTTCCAACCCCTCCAAGTTACCTCCTTAAAAAAAACAAAAAACAAAAAAATACAGTCATCTATATATAGGCTATAGCAGTTGTTAAATCTCTTCACATACTTTTCTGACGAACTCTCACATATTTATATTAGTTTCTACAAGCCTTTGTTCATATATTTTTCCATTCTGGTGTAATTTGGAGGCATAAATCCTATCTACTGACTCCAAGGTTCGACAAAGAATATTTTTTACATCGGTTTTTGAAGTTCCGAGCAGGGAATATTGTAAATCAACAGATCATTTCATTGAGTAATTGCGTCAATGGCAAGATTTCTTTTGACCATTTCAAGATTTTACACTTCGACTAGAAACCTCCCTGTCAATCCATGTAGTATGTTTCGAACTTTTTCTGGCTCCAACTCTATATTAAATAAGAATCCAGGCCTTTTCTTGAGTAGGCAGAGCTTGGGATACCGGTATCTCAGCAACTTTTCTGGAATGGACAAGGAAAACAGCAATAAAAGGTATATATCTGTTCTCGTAAAATGAGTGATGGCGAGACATGATAAGAGCATTCCAACATCTCTAACAGGCATATTTAAATGTTGGTAACATCTAATATGTTGATTTGTTCCAGAAATTTTGTTGTCTACAACAGTGTTCCTGGAGCTCCATTGCCCTCTCAGCCTCCTTCAAATTCCTTGTAATTCAGAGTTTCATTTCTTGCATAATTGTTGTACAGTACTCAACAGTTGTGCAGTATAATTGACAATATTTTAAAATTCTTCTTTGGTTAATATTGTGTATGTATTTAGCTAACTCAACTACATGAATTTATTCAGGAGAAAGTGGATTCTGGGAATTGTAGTTGCAATATTTTTACCCTTTGCGACCAACAAATGGGGACCATTGTTGATATTCAAAAGTAAGGGAAATTAATTCTCTAATTCTCATGAATCTTGTTACCAAAATAAACAAAAATAAAATCCCTTAATTAGTGCCAGTAAAAAATAATCACATTTTTAAAATTTAAAAATTGTGCAGGTGAAGTTGATACGGCCATGGAGACAATAGAACAGATAACAGAAGTTGTAGAAAAGACGGCCGAGGTGGTGGATAAAGTGGCGGAGAACATTGCTGATCACCTTCCGGAAGGAGGAAAATTTAGGAAAACAGTTGATTTTATTGAAAATGTGGCTGAAACAACAGCTAAGGATGCTCATTTAGTTGAAGATATCATTGATAAGGTATACCTAATTAATTTTTATTAAAATATAATGAAGTTTAGGCGTTTGACAAATCTTTAACTAAACTTACTATTCATAATCTGACCAAGTCATTAGTTTAATTAAAAAGAAAAGAGAGTTGATTTATGGAACCTTATGTAATAACAAGAATGACTTACCTTTTTTAATTCTTGAAGAAAATATTAGTTAATTCTCTTCTTACAGCGTTAACTTTTTATGATTTGTTCCAATCCTAGGAGCTGTTATGGGCGACCCAAAAGTACCCCTTTTTTTCACATGGATGTGACATATAAAATTCAAGTTACGTGGATATAGATTTAATTTATTTATTTTTTGTTGATTAAATTTTTAAATTTTTTATTTTTTGCATTTTTGGTCCTCGAGTTCAACCAAACAGAGCCACCTCTAGGAGATGATGGGATCGGTCCATGGATTTTCCTTCCTCTTTTGCCGCATTTCACTCAAAGGATATAGAAAGATCTTATTGTTTCTTTAACAATCTCTGATCTCTAGTGGACCTCTCAGTAGGATTCGAACCCTTTTATCCATCTCATGAAAAAAATGGGATTTCTTTCTTCTTTTCTGTGATCTATCTATTCATTCACTCTATAAACGTATTTGAGCATAAATGATTTCCTCTTCTTACATGTGATATATAATACACATCCAAAATATGTGCAATGACTATTCAAGATCCCTTTATAGCTTAATATTAGATAATAATCGACATGTAAGGATTTAGATTAATTTTTCTAAAATAAATGACTTTTCAAGATAGGCCCTCACGACTTATAGTTTAATAAGCTCAAATTAGTCACCATATTGTGATATCACGTTGCTGAAATTACTAATTGTTAAAGTGTAATTTTAGGTTCAGGGAGTTGAAGAAGATGTGGAGTCCATTGTTGAATCTCTCAATGGTGAAGCCGACAAGCCTTCCAGAGAAATTAAGGATAAAAAATGATTATCGAAATTGTAAAATAATGTGAAGGGCGAAAAGTGTATAATATAAATATTTCTTATTGTTTTTAGTTAAATTAACTTTATAGTTTGGGAGGGAGTTGGGGTTCTTGAATTTATCATTTTATCAATTTTGTATTAATATTTTTGCAGGAACTGCAATATTGTAATGTTGAATACAAATTTCCATATAATAATTAATGTAGAAGTACTTCTCAATTTCATTTTTTCCAACATAATTAATTCGAAAGCCAACTGTAAGCATGAAATGACTAGGTACAGAAAATAAAAACCAAATATGTATAAATTAAATCATATTCGTTAACTATAACATAATTCAAGTATAATGAACATAAAAACTATATAGAAAAGTTCTTTATATATACCGTTTTTGTAGCGACCAAAAATTTTCATATTTTAAAACGATAGTTTTTTCCCAAACTTTTTTATAAGAAAGAAATTTGTGTCGCTACAAGTTTTTCCTAAATTGATATGCTTTAAGTGGTCATGTAATTAAGTACGTTAACTTAATCTACTCTATGTTAATTATGTGTTTGCCTTTGAAATATTTTGTGACAAATTATAGTAAGTATAAATTATGGTTTGTCGCTTAATCTTATTAGACATAGCATTCACATAAGTCGTGATTTAGTTAAGATTTATAGTTTCTATAAAATGCACAATATCGTAAGATTTATTATTAGATTATTGTAGTTGTGAGAATTATTGTATCGATATTGGGCTCGTCTATTGCCTTATAATTAATCATACATATTAGGCTCGAGGAGAAGTCAATTTGGATAAGGACAACCAAATTGGAGCAAATAAAAGAAAATTATGATTACTGAATTCATGAGGAACTTCATTTATTGGTTAAGGAAATTGGCCAATTGAATTCACGTGTGTTTGGAACTCCCATTAATTTTATATTATCCTAATCTTTACAAATCTTTATTGGAAGAGTTTAAATCAATGGTCATTTGTATTAGGATAAACAAGCTCAAAGTTCTATATATACTAATAAAACTCTTCTTGCACATGTATGTGTCCTTGTTTTCCTCCGTAGTTTGTTGTTCCATTCATTTTTTATTTGATAGAACAGCAGAAAAAACAGTTCACGAATTAAAATATAAATAAAGGTAAAACACACCGTGCTCAAAACCTAAAATTTGTTTTAAAAGAGGTAGACTCAGACTCAGACTCAGACTCCGCTTATTTCAATTCGTATTATGTTCAAACTGTATAAATGTGACTATATGTTATATGTAACTCCATATGGGGTTTGAATATGAGCTGGTGCATAGTAGTGTGCCAGATATGTGAAATTCGGGGCATAATAGTACACCAAATGTTGGTATGTCGCTTGATCTTCGATATGCTTTTTCATTAAAAATTTAAATGACATGACTATATGCATAAAGTATGATATATTTGGATTGAAAATGTGTACAAGACTGTTAAGTGTTTCAATAGAATACTCTATCCCCCTAACAATTTCAAATTAATGTGATCGATGGTGACATAGAGGGGAGTGGTGATGCCTTGAAATAAACTCCCGAAATCATCATTTAAGTCAAGTTTTGTTCAAATAATTATTAAACTTCTAATATATTTTAATTTTGTATTTTTCGAATCTTTAAAGACTGAATTGTGTAATGGAAATTTGTTCAAGGTGAATAGGATATTTTGTTGTGGTTTATTTAGCTCAATTGAGTGGCAAGACTAGTGTTTGAAATATTTTTAGTTTGTGCCCCTAAATTTAAAAATTCATCTCAATCAAAATAGTTGGAATTTTGAGGTGATTCCAATTGGAAAAGATAGCCATATGGATTATCTATCTCTTGGATTTGGGAGTCATGATTTTTGATTGAGTAAAACTCAAGTTATGGACGTTTTCTCGATGGTTGTCAGATGTATCCAAAAATAAATAGATCCGATTTTGAAAATAATTTTGACCCATCTATTGACTGAATTTACATATGAAATTTTAACCTGTAATTTTTCTATCTATAAGATGCCTACAATTTAAATTTTGTAAATTTTGGATTTCATTTGATCTCTAAACGAATTTTTTCTTCTCAAAAAGCTGTACAACCTAAAATTTCAAATTTTCCGAAAGCAGATTTCTTTAGTTTTGCAACGGATTCTCTAAAACCTAAATTCTTTTAGTCCAAGTTAATATTCACATTTTAGAATTTTACAAATTAAGATCTTAGAATGTTATGAGCCCCTAGAGCTCGGGGTATTATAGTTTTACAAATTCTGAACTTCCATCCTGCACCTTGTATACTTCTATACGTTCTTTTTATCTTCAACTATAAAATGTAAAATCAAATTTACTAATTAAAGAATCAAATATGTTTCTTTTTGAAAATTTTTAAATCAAAACATAAATTTATCAATTAAACAACTAATAGACAGTAACCCTTAATTAGTGGCCTTTATTTGTAAGAGAAAACTAAGTTTCAAATCGTACTTTTTAAAGAATATGTAGTTAAAAGGTAGAGAAACTTTTGAGTTTACGTGTATAATATTTTATGGCGTGAATGTGTGGTTGAAAATAAATATGAGAAATAAAATAAGATAAAATATAGAAATTAAACAGGGGCTATGTTTGTTCAAGAAAGTGAAAAATAGAAGAAATCATGTCATGACTCTTGAGAGAGGTACTATATATGACTAGTTTCCTTCAGTATATGTTTTTAATACCTAAAATACAATCACTTGGGAAATATTTTTAAAAAATATAATATGAAATCTATTTTTAGTCAAAAAGACATAAACCCTATGTGGAGAATTTGAAATGCGTATTACATATCACAAGATGAAGAGGGAGCTAATTAATGGCCTTGGATGGGGACAAGAACCTCACCTCGGATTGTACAAAAAGTCTAAAGAAATTGGTACCTACTACCTACTACAAAACATAAACATTAAAAAAAATAAAAATAAAAAACCAACTAGCCGCCTTCGGCACCCCCTTAAAACCACCACCCCCGGTCCTTGTAATCAACACCGGTCACTGTATTGTCTCTTTGCTTTCGAGGGGTATTACTTATATTGATGACAGTACTTATTTTGGGAAACGATATCCTCAGTATCGGAGCCGGAGAGGTGGTGGTGGATCTGATGAAAAGTTAATTATTTTCCATGCACAAAAATGTAAAGATGCCTAAATGAATATATGAATATGTATATATTACTTCATTTTCTATCTAAATGTACGATTAAATCAACTTCGAAAATAATTATTATTATTATTATTTTTTGTTTTAAGTCTCACTATCATCTATTTATCATCTCCCTAATAATTCTTTTTTTTTTTCAAATAGTATGGTCCAATGACACACAATTATATATTAGACGTATCAGATTTTAAATAAATAAAAATTTGACATGTACGTATAAATGTATTTATTATTTATTTCCATAATGACCCATATATAACCCCTGTTTGGTTCCCATTATTTACACATTAAAATGAAAAATATGACCGTTATCCATCATATCAAGTCACTACATTTGAATTTTTATCTCTTGTGTGGAGCTCGTAACGATTATATTTTTCATTCTCATTCTTTCATTCTCATTCTTCAAAAAATGAGAAACAAATAGGAACATAATTATATGTAGATTCCAACTAGGAGGTATAACAAAAAAAGCCTCACCCAGAGTTAGTAGTGATGAAATCGATAGTATTGCTTTGACATTCTGAGGAGGAGCAAGCATTTGTTTAAAACGTCAATAGAATATTTTGCATTTAATAAGTCGTATATCACTTAAAAAATTAGGGAAAAAAAGAGTTGGGAAGATGCGATAATTTTTCATCCCATGTGCTTAAAAGTTTACCCCCCCCGCCCCCCACCCTCAATTCCATCCCCATCCTCAGCCGGTTATTTATTCCTTAATGACATGTTTTACACAATGAATTTAAGTTGAAAAGTCATCCCCTAGAAACTTGCTGATAAGAACAAGAACGTTGCAATTTTTTTATTTATTCAAACACGGCTAAATGTTTTTTCTTCGGTTTCTTCTGACTGCAAGATTCTCATTTCTACAGCGTCTGCGGAAATTTCCCTGAAATCTACCTTCAAGTTACCTCCAATAAATGCAGACCTCTCTCTCTATATATATTAGCTTTTAATCTCATTGCACATATAGCTTTTTTGACAAACTCCATAGTTGCACAGTCAAAATTACTGCAAATCCTGAATTGGTGTACAAAGATTGGTGCATTTGAATTGTGCAAATGGCAAGATTTCTTTTTTCGATGACAAGATTGTACACTTCGACTAGCACCCTCCATCTCAAGCCCTATTATATGTTTCGAACTTTTTCTAGCTCCAATTCCATATTACATAAGAAGCCATGCCTTCTCTTGAGCAAGCAGAGTTGGGGATATCAATATCTCTGTAGATACTCTGGGATGCACGAGGATAACAAAAGTAAAAGGTACGAGTACACACCCCTTCACATGCAAGTCTCACCACCATGTGAAATTTTTATCAGAGTAATTCTACTTGATACTATTGATGTTTAACACCAGTCTAAGTGACAATACTATGTTCAATTAAATGAATTACATAATTTCACATTTAATTTAATATATTTTGTGTGTGACCCATTAGGTTCCCGACCACGATGCCTAACGACGTGAAATATTATTTTGATCTAATCAAAATTGATAAATTAAAACACTCTTTTAATTTATCGTCAATTCACATTCGCCGTCCCTGATTGATATCTAGCAATGTGTCAGGGCAATACATGTGACGGGAAATGTCACGTGGTATGACAAAACCAAATTCGTTCGTTTACCGTGAAACTATAATCCCTTCGTCAATATGATCCGATCAATTACGAGATATGGAATTGTGTCAATCTCGATCATCGATCATATCTTTCACTCCACTATTAAGTCAATATAAATCGAAAACTCCTTTTCGACTTATGTGTACACCTTGGCCAAGGATTTGATCATTGACTTAATTGAATGAAACGCAGATCATAATCTCCTACTATCTAAGAGTGACGAATCCTTTATTGATCAATCCCAACTTTCATACGATTCTTGACGTACCCGAACAATGTCGTATTAGCGGCCCTTTTCAGAGCAACATCCAACACCGCCAAAGTATGACTGTCCTCATATAAGGTACCATGACGACCTCAAGTCAAAGGACCAATTTCACTACCGAACGTTAGAGA